CTCTCTCTCTCTCTCTCTCTCTCTCTCTCTCTCTCTCTCTCTCTCTCTCTCTCTCTCTCTCTCTCTCTCTCTCTCTCTCTCTCTCTCTCTCTCTGGACTTAATTGTTTTATTATTATATTTGTTAAATAATGAATTTTAAAACTTCAAATTTTAGTTAATGCTTCGTTATAAAAATTACATGTTTAAAATTAAGTAAAAATCTGTGATGAATAATTTAAATTATTCAAAGGGATTATTTCTTAAGCGTAAAAAAGGAAGAAAATTTTTTTATGAACTCGTTACCGCTTTAAATTCAGATCCGTACGCGAGACAAGAGATATAGTTGACTTCCAATCAAGTAGATCTCTATCTGAGAATCTACCATCTACCCGCCGAAAACGATTACCAGTCTCGTAAAGGCGAGAAATAAAAAACGAAAACGGTAGTCGTTGGACTATTTTTCACCCCGAGCACAAATAAGGTCTCCTCTTTCTTAACATCGTCCTTTTGACATATACCGTCCCTTATTTTTTTTCTACCTTATTTTCTCATATTGATTAATAAATAAAGATAAAGATCATCTGATATAATTTCTCTTCAAAAAACCATGTAATAAAAAAAAATATAATAAAAAAAACAATCATTGATAAAAAAAAGAACAAAATAAAGAGCCTCTTACGACTGCTTCACAACCAATAAAGTCATAGTCTTTAATCATAATATAGATATAATACTAAGCGTAATCGCTTCAATTAATTTCTAAAGATCATACTTAGACGGGATAAAAGATAGACCGCGATGTTACGCGATAATTATCGCTGCATACGCGGCATCACGCAATTTGCATCGAGCCGATCAACTTGAGGAATGCGCGTAAGAGAACGGCCTTCTTTCTTTTTTTCGCGTGCGCTCACGCGTAATGGTACCGATTTTAAGATCGAGATAACTCGCAGCTTCAACCGCGGATGCAGGTTACCTTCGCCTCGAGAAATAAAGCGAGACGCAGCTATCTCGGCACCGACGCGGCGGCGCGGCAGCTCGTTCGGATTTCGTCGTTCCACTTCCAAACGATGCTATCGGGCATTAAAATCCGTGGAATGTTCTCAGTAGGATATTTTATTACCGCTTGTAGAGTGTTCCATCAGTGAAATCGTATCGCCTTTCGATTAGACGTAGCATCCACCAGGGGTAGATTAGTATCAAGTTTTTGGATGGAGATGGCCTTTAAATCTCAATGGCACAAAGCGTTTCCTGCCTCTTTATTACACTTGACACAGCGTTAGATTCGAACTAATTTCGGTTCAAATCATATCAAATTATTTATCAAAAAGTAAACAGCTCAGAAAGTTTTACCTACTAGATACTGATAGTAATACAGTTATACATTAATGTATTTTTAACTTAATTCCATGACTTATAAATTATAAAAAAAAAAAAGATTACAAAAAAATTTTATCAAAATATTTTAGAAGATAAAATTGCCGTTGAATGACCAACATGATAAATTTTCCACGAAGGAAAAGATCTATCGCAAAATATGTGAGTGAAAAAATATACTGTCAGATATTTGTTCTATACAGATTTGCGCATTATGAAATATGAATATCTCGATAGTGCATATCTTTTGTTTCGTCCCTGTAATCGCCTCTCGCCAATTTATCCACAGTCGACTCAATGAACCGCAAAGGAAACCATTTATTAAAGTCCACGAGAGAACGAGTGAGCGAGCGAACGAGCGCGGCCGAGTAACGTACGTCAGAAATTTTCAACAGAAACCAACCGGATTCACGGTGGGCGCCGTGCACAGGTCGAGTTATCTCGATCTCGAAATCGGCACGATTACACGCGAGTGCGCGAGGAGGAAGCAGAAAAAAAAAAGCAGAGGAAGGCGGAAAGCGGAGAAAGGGAGCGCGAGCGAGAGAAGCGCGGCGAGACGAGGATGCACTTCTGCTTGCACCTGCCGGTGACGTCAGAAGGGACTTCTTGTTTGGGCCTGCTCAGCCCCGGGGGTCACTACTACTGTTTTAGCCTGTGCTCGCTTCTTCGCCTTCCCTTTTCCCTTCAACCTCAGAGGAGGAAGGCCCTCCCCTTTCGCGTCTACCCGCAATATCGTCGAACATGCGTGCGCGAGTTGAGTACTTCGTATGCGAGTGCAAAGAACGCCCCGATCATTGTTCATGTATTAATTATATGCTAATGAAAATCCCGTTTCTTAAACGATATTCGACGAACATTTTTCATGGTCACGACCTATAGGTGCGTCCAGAAATAAGACGTATCTATAGAACTGACGAAGAGTCATCTTACGTAATCACGCTCGATATTTATTATTCCGTGAAAAAATATAAAAAACATTTTATGGTATAAAACATTTTGCTCTTAGCTAGCGTTTTTCTTATCATAAAAGTACAGTGCGTATGTGTTTGTCTCGAGATAAAAATAAGTAATATCACTTATATCACTTTGTATCCTCGCAAAATATTTCGTTTCCATCGGCAAAACGAGGCTGACCCTCCTGTTCTGTAATATCTGATATCCGTTGCACGTGCGACAGCTTTGCAGGCTCGAAAATGAATCTCGCAGATGTAAATTTTTTTTCTTCAGAAAAAAAATTTAGACAAAAAGAAACGCACGCGTGCGTCCTCGAGCCATCTCTTTAGATGCATTCCGCGACGTGCGTTCGGTCTGATTATTCAAGCTCGGTCTGATTATTCAAGCGTTCACAGATCCTTTTTCTCGTCAGTTAATGACACGATAAGCGATACTATCGTGATGGCAGAATGCCAGAGGTAGCGTTTTAATCAAGATCGTGTCATATCGCTCACCTCTAATGTTTACCACGGCCGAACGTGAAGGGGATCGCACGTTCCACCTTCGAAATAACATTTTATCTGATGGGACCCGCGACACTCGTTCCGCACGCAATTTGCATAATCTAATACCTTCGTCGGAGGTGCGGAATAAATATAAAGGTATGACGCGCCGTTTCTGCGCTAAGATTCAAAGCGATGTAATTTGCGAGCGTGATAACAGCTTCGGCTGCTGCGTATAATTTTCGGCAAAAATGAAACTTTTTAATAATCTTCTGCTCAATGCAAATAAATTTTAATTAAATTCATAAATATAACGATGAATAAATTAAAATATACATGTGTACGGTCACGTCGTCAGAAATGTTTTCTCGTTTAAAAAAGAGTCAAGAAATGATGGCCCGCTGAAATTAATCATAATGAATTTTACCAATACACAATAATGAGATTCGATAGAACCTCATTATACTTAGAATTTTAATGTATGCCGGCATGGAGGAGCCGTCATCCTGTTGTACTTAGGCAAGGTAGATACCTAATAAGTAACTTTCAACATCGCGAAATTGAAGATCGTTATTAGCGCGACATGGAATTTATACCGAATGGCTTGTTGATTAATATACCAAGCAATACATTCTACTCAAGAAGCACAGGCGCGTTTTTCGAAATTTGTCATGCCGCACGCGCCCGTGACATTTCTCGTTTCATTGTACAATACGTCATTATCGACGCCATAAATCGAGCATAAAATTCCGGATACGGGGTGCATAAAGGATGCAGCTGTTAAAAATCTGGCGAAACGTCCTGAAATCGCTGGAGTCTCCTCATGGTGAACGAGCAAAACGATCATGAATTATTAATTCCACATGAGACGCCTCCGGGACGACAAGCGCGGCCGCATCCACGAAAACACGTGGGCGCGGCTTTAAATCAGGACACCTCGCGAATGGTCTTGAATTAATTAAAATTTGACGGTCGCATTAAGAACCGGTTGCAGGATCTATCCGAGCGGCATGAGGATCCTGCGAGATGAGAACGAGCCGCTTCTTTCCACGGCCGCAAGAAGAACGATGCGCGAAGGGAAGGCGAGCGATCTCTGCGGAGATTGCTAGAACGGAACGTCCGCGAATCTGCTCGCGAACCGGTTTAAATCCGCGATTAACAGGAAACGCGCGGAATTATTCGTTTCCTCAATTTTCATTAGGGAGCCGCCTGCTATCTACGAGCCGGAGAGATATTTAAATTACAGTCGCCGCCATGACTGAACCTTACGTTCAGTGGCTTGACAAATATGACAATTGTATGCAAATTGCGTTGTATGTCTTATGTTGCTTGCTCTTTTTAACGTTAATTTCACGTAACCGGAAATAAAACTTGAGCGCCTTCACACGTTCATGTTTATGATATTCAGCGTGCGATACACTCCATTGACTTGACTACTTCGCAGAAGGACCAGAACCAGTCGATCGATATGCTTAATGATCCACGACATAGCGATTTTAAATTTTATGTTTATACGAGAGGTCGATGATTTTTCGGTTAAATGTGGAACGAGGCAAAAATCGAAGTTCGCCGAGTTAAAAAACGAAGGTAAAACGACTGCTAAGTCAATAATTATATGATACTTGATAAACTTAAAATCTTTTAAATTAACGATCAGATCTAAGTTATATAAAGATCAACTAATATTGCAAATGTAAATGCACACTTTTATATTTCTGTCAAATTTTATAACATTAAACACAAATAATCTACATTTAATTTGCTGAAAAATATTGACAATTAAACGAAAATTTATTATTAAACTACAGATATATAATAATATAAATAACATTCATTGAAATATTTATAATATTTCTCTCTGTCAAATTTGCAACAAAGAAATCTTCAAGAAATCAATCTGTAGGATAAAAATCTTAAAATAAAAAACAATATTCTAAAACGAAAACAAATAAAATAATTCTGTAAGAATCTTACTGCAAGCAAGCCAACTCTATGCAGTTTCAAACTCGTCTCACCTGTCTCGAGCTGTATTTCAGAAACGCAAGTGAAAACAAATAAATCAAGTATACCTGTCCAGAGGGAGATACAAAGTTTGCCTGTGGTATATGGTTGTGGTGTGCCTGCCCAGTTCGACCCTCCACGACTCGACTTTCACCCTCAATAGGTTTCCACTTTTCAGGTGCACGAATCGAAACTACCCCTAAACCATTGATGATTTTATGTTTAAATCGATTGAAGCAAATCTGCTCCGTATAACGCTGTGTAATGTTGTTTGCATCTGTAGAAAAATGGAGAATCTTCCTTCTAACATATATTTACTTATATAAATGCATGGATTTTTATAGATTTATATATCTAGTGCTAACATATCTATTAGTTATTCACCTGATCCTCGCACCATGAAACAGGTTGTAAAAAAAATCACCCCGTGAAAAAAAAACTCGGCAATTCCTGGGGTGCGAGATGAAGAAAAAAAGTTCACCTTCTCACTCAAAACTTTCAGGCTTTTTTATGAGGATACAGTTAATGGACGCACCCGTGATCGTGTCATGAAGACAAGGGGCCGAGTTCTCCAAGATAACAAAAAATCCGGTCGAAGGCGTATTTAATAGCGGGGATTGCCGCACCTATCACGAGGCGTCTAGACGCTCCTTGACTCTAAATCTCTCGAGCACAGTAGAGTAATGAAGAAAACTAAAGTACATTATTACCGCACCTTAATTACTATAACTTAGCGGCTAGCTAATACTTTAACCTTTTAGTTTAAAAATTTTCGGCAATAAGCACAATTGGAATTTGTTTTTTTTTTTCTGAACTGCAATCATTGATCTAACAAATTATTTGTGCAAAGTTATTAAATATTTTGGTTAATGTCAATAATGTAATGTTTAATGTCAATTAATAATATTTCTAATAAAATTTGAATAATATATAAGTGTAAATTTTGTGTAATATCTTATTGATTGTAGCCACATTTTTTAATAAAATTTAGAAGATGTTAAAAATAATTTGTAATTATTCAATCAAACTTAACAAGTTAAACTTTACAGTAACTTTTAATTTAAATTATAATGCATAAAATTCTATAGAACCACTTTCATTCTTACTTTCTTTAAAGAAACATACACGTAAAATGTTTACAATGTAATACAGCTCGAGTCACGCCACTTTGCGTGCCAAAATTGAATACACAATCGATCGTATCCTACGTAAGTTGATATAATAAACGTTTCGTGAATCCAACAATCGACCAAGTCCGTAATTAAACATTGAGCTTTCTCCGCTATTATTATCTTTATTATCATCGTGTATAATCAGTCAACTTATCCTCCCAAACCACACCTAACTCCTGTGCTAACAGCGAGACGCAACAAGTTGGATATTCTGTATTCAGTGTAAAGTCGACGACAAAATCTGTCTCACCTCACGCAAGCTCGCGTGATGCGCACGAACGTGTCACGAACAGGTTCGAACCAGTCTCGGAGGAGCAACCACCACCCTCTTCGTGTTAGAAATCTGGGCTCTATCCTAGGAGAAAGAAACCCCTTTAGAAAACCGAGGAAACCGGAGTCGTGCGGAACGAGAAAGAACCCACTATGTAGAAGGTCGAGCGGGGGTGATCACAGGGGATGTGCGCGCACGTGTATGTGGATCACAGAGGGGTCCATGTGAGCGGGGTGCTATAAGGACCGAAAGATAGGTGGTGGGCGATCGGGCGGCGAAGGCGGAGGAGGGAGAAGACCGGCAGATGGTCGGCGTGGACCCTGACGTGGGAAGCTCCGAATTCTCCGAGTTCCCACAGCCAGAGTGCACCTGCCTTCCCCACTCTGTCACCCCGTGCAACCTCGGCGGCTATATAAGGACGGGGTTGCTCGTACTAAGGCACCATTCGCTCACTAGCCTCTCGCTCCAAAGCGACTTGCCCAAAAGCACATTCACCAAGTACATATCCTTCGCTTTCAAGTTCTCCCGCCAAGTTCCTGTCGAACGACAGTTCGTGCCACGTGTTCCGAGTTCCGACAGTTCGGAAGAAACCGGTTCAGTGTACCGTGGTTTGAGGGAGAACAAACGCTAACAAAAAGAGAGAGAGAGAGAGAGAGAGAGAGAGAGAGAGAGAAAGAGAAAGGGAGAAAGAAAGAAGCATGGCCGCTACCACCACCACCATGAACGAACACACGCTGTTCGACTTCGAGGTCAGCGACGTCTTCGAAAACGAGCTCAACGATAATCTCTACAATTTGAAGATGTCGGAGGACAAGGCCGTGAGCGGTCGCAAGAGCAGACGCATGCTGAAACCGCTGAAGCCGCTGCTGCGGATGCTGAAGAAGCGTACCAGCAGGTATGTCAAAAGCAACAAGCGCCAGGAGGCCGTGCCTCAGGTGGGGATCTTCACCGAGGAGATCGAGAATCAGAACAACGCCAACGAGGCGCTGGAACGCAGACTCCTGCAGGAGCTACGGGACGCCGAGGAGGGTGCCGCCATCACCGTCTGTCTAGACGGACAGATGACCGTCGTACCGGTTGTGCCTGGTCAGTGCTACGTGCCGGTGCACTTCGCCCACACCCACGCCGGCGACTTCTACTGGACGACCCTCAGCATGGCCGACAGAGACCTATGCTACAAGGAGCGCGCCTTCTCGCAGTACCAGCTCCCCGAGGTGCAAGTGGCGTGAGTTGTCATTATCGAGAACAGCCACATCTACCTCAGAGGCGAATCCCCGAAGGACTGACGGTGACTCCGAGATTCGCTGAACTTCCTCCCGCGATCGCGTCCTCAAGCTCGAGGACTGGCGCTATCAACCGAGGTGCGGGACAACAGCTTGAATAGACATTTCGAAACTGTGATCATTAGATTGTATATGTTAGATTTTAGCTGACAATTGACTGATCGAAAAAAACATTCCTTGTAAATGTAAAATTAATTTGTCAAAGAGAAAGAGAGACGCGTTTTATTTTTTTTTCTTTTTTTATACTGCGGCGACATATTTGCCGCGTTTGTGATATTTATACTTATTGTATGTATACAAATTTAGAAAGTGTTATTTTAAGATTGTGATATCGGCTTTAATGTTGGCAAATATCGCTGACACTCCTACTTGTCTTCCAATACATTTGTTTGAAATAAATGTTACTCACAATCAAATACCTTGTGTCAATTAATTCATCTTTCCGATCATCTTAGTTTTAAGCAAATAGTTTTAAGTATATCCTTGAAACATTACATTAACGTTTTTTTATCTTTCTTAAATATTTTATATTTTTTTCAAAATTATAAAAAATGAAAAAAAATTACCAAAGAGATACATGAGACGAGCCTCTTTGGATTAAATTTATTTAGCATTCTTAAACATCCTTTCCTCACATCATAAACAAAAATATTAAATATTAAATTTATTAATTAATAAGATCGTTCCGAAAAAATCTTTTGATGGGATGTCTTTTAAAGCATCATTAAATACAGCAATCTGAAAAAATCCTCAAGAACTCCAAAGCTAACGCAAAAGATTTGTCCAGATATTTAATGTAAGTTCGAAGAAATGTCAGACAAAATTTTTTCATTCATAAAATATTAGGGGCTATTTTACGCGGGAAAAGATTCCTAAGGTAGTGATATGGAATTACCTACGTATTCGAAGAGAATTAAACATAATTTTCAGACATAATTATTTAAAGAATTCTAGAGGAAAATTCAAAATATATTTTTTCTAGATTTTAATTTAATTATTTATTATTAAATTACAGTTATTGTTACAATATTATAATATTTTTATATTAATAAATTTAACCATTTATATGCCTTAACACATATGTTCTAGAGATACACAATATCGAAGATTCTTTTGTAGTAAATTCGAAAATAGAAAAGGAGCAAAAGGGCGTAAACAATAGCTCATTTGACCGAAAATGCTACGTGGATATGGACTGACATTATGCACACGTGTTGTCCATATGTGACATACACATGTCCACTATGAGATAGATAGGGTGCATGCGAATTCACATGACTTTCTACAGCGGACGCGAGGGTAAAAAACCTCGACCCCTAGATCGGAAGATAATAAACGATACCACGATCAGTATATAGAAGTATAATAGAATAATCATAGGGGTGAATAATTTGCGAATTATCCGATGAAGCAAATCCAATCTTATTTACTTAATAGAGACATTCAAGCGTGAGCTGCTGCTTTCATCTAACGCTATAATAGTTTATCAATAAAATTAAATAAACAATCTGTGTTATTTGCAACGTATAAATAACAACTTGTTATATTATAAATTTAATTTTCTACTCAAATAAAAAAAAATGAAACAAATGTATACACAATTTTTTATACGAATATTTATAAAAAAATAATTTTCGTGATATATCTTGCTAATTAAATAATAAATATAAATAAATTATGCTATATATTTCTTTTAATTCAAATTAAAAAGTAAAATTAAAGGTCTTACAACATTACAAAATTACAAAACAATAAATTTTTAAAATTTTTACTCAATTTACAACTGATGAAACAGATCAGACAATTCAGTGATAAATATATGTAAAAAAAATTGTTATCAATAAAATTAAATAAACAATCTGTATTATTTGCAACGTATAAATAACAAACTTGTTATATTATAAATTTAATTTTCTACTCAAATAAAAAAAAAATGATACACAAATTTTTCAAAAAGTGTTTTTAATGTTCTCTGGACATTGGGGTAGATGGATAGCAGCCTGTAGGAAAGGCAACCCTTCAGACAACTCTGAATTTAGACGCAAACTTGCACCCGCTTTGTAGGGGCAAAAACTTTCTTTGCCATACAACTTCTATTTTTAAAGGAGGTCAGGCACGATGTGCGACGCATTGTAAAATAACTTTGTAGAAAACCTGCCCAGAATGGTATCAATTACATGAGATATATTTTCACCGGTGACACCGCGATACCGCATCAATTAAATAAATTAATTCATTATCTTGTTACTGTTGCTGCCTCTTTCTCCCCATCCATACCACATTCTCTCACCTCATTTACGGTCATCTCACGGCTATCCGGGCCGTGTAAATTGGTCGGAACGCGTGTGTCGCAATTTCGATAGCCCCTTTTCGTAATTACAGTGATTAAAATGTTCGCGCAAGAATTTTTCCTCGTGCAAAATCGGCCTTGTCAAATTAATATCCATACCGTGGAAATATCTCGATCCATTCGAGGCATCATTATAAAAATTCGAAAACGTGAACTTATGTAATGAAAAAATTCGTATCTTATGACACTATCACAGCAGACATCGCTTCGTCTGGAATGAATGCATAATTATAATCGTCGTAAAATCTTACACAAGCAAATCCGACTTTGTTCATTAATCTAAAACATTTTACAGTAAAAAAATGTATATGTATATGTAAACACTTTATACTATAAAACTTAAAATGCGCAGAAACAATCAGTCATTGTATTGTTTTGATCAAAGATAAAATGTCGGAATAATACGATGAGAAGCGATTGCAATAGCGGGGTGTGTTAAAGGGTGTGACTTAAAGAATAGCGTTTTCAACTTTACGTGAGAAAATTATATGTTTTATGTTTTCTTTTATCGCGCCACTTTCTCGTTAATAATCCGCGCGGAAAAGTTAGCCGGAAAAAATCGGAGTTGATTTCATTTTTCTTGAAAACTATTACGTAATTGCAAACATGTGCATTCACATTTGTATACAAAAGGATTTTTCAACCCATTTTAATGTCATGAGAATTATAAACAAAAATTATATTAAATACACAAAAATAATTAATATCTCAACCTTCATCAAAAATAACAATTAATTTTTTGTATTTTTGTTTATTTCAATATTAATTAAAGTATTCAGAAAAAGACAAGAGGCAGCTTCCATCTATATATATTAATTAATTCTAACATATCAAGAAGGAGCAAAATGTCTACCGGCAGTGAGAGTGATAATTCATGTCGGCACGGTTTCGGAACGCCGATCGATTTCAGCGTGGCGAACAATCGTTGCTACTTTCTCAGTTGACATTTCTCGAAGCGAGGGGAAAAAACACGTGTCGCGCATGGAATCGGCCGCCACTTCCTCCCGCGCGCGGCTGATAGTCGTCGGCCTTTACTGTCCTCCGTGGAGTGAATGGCGCGGCGCGGCGTACCTCCCCCTCCCTCGTCGCGGTGACCCGCTCGTGCCGGCGGAACGTTCATTCGCGCTACTCGCTCATTCCCACGGCCCAGTGTTGCTATCAGGGACGCTTTCTCGCGCATGCGTATTTTAGATGTAGGTTTAATGAAGTATCACGTTTAGAAAAAAAAAAAGATATTACGTGGTTTTTTACTGACATTTTTTATATTATATATAAAATTGTATAAAATTGTAAAAAATTATATAAAAATTACTTAATTATATAGAATTTTAAATATAATTAATATTAATAACCTGCAATAAAATTAATTTTTTTTTTAACAAACACATTTTATATTTTTGTAAATGTAAGGAAAAAAAGTATATAATAAAACACATTTATGTGTTTAAGATAAAATATTTTATTTGAAAATTACGAGCATGCTTTTTAATAGTCCCTTTTTGGGGTTATAATGTATATCTATATTATATTTATGTTGAATAACAAATAACGAATAATAAATAATAAATAACATTTCAAACAATTTTAATAACAATTAATAATATTTAAATATTTACCTTACTTTACTTATCTCATCCTAGCGTGGAGAACGCCAAAATTTTAATGCCTATTATATACGTATATCGTGTTACAGTCCTAGATATAACTATTGATCATAATACGCATGTGCGAAAAAACGGCCGTAATAATAACAACACTGGCACGGCCCCGATATCGCTGCGTTAATGCGAGCCAGCGCACACGCGCGCGCGCGCGCGCACGCACGCGATCACCCTCGTGCTACGTAACTCGCGCGCGTGTCAAAGCCGGATCCAGATCGAGCGAGCGCGAACGAATACGAATGAACAGCTTTAATCAGCGCAAACGTCACCGTTCATATTAAATTGCTAATACGTGCGTTTGCATTGCACTCGCATTGCACTCGCAGGTCCAAGCATGAGTATCATTGAAGAGGAGACTCACCTCAAATGTCACTCATAATCACTCTAAGTCACTCATAAAAATTTCACAAGGCACAAATTCAAATTTTTATTCCTAATCTTTACCTCGATCGTACGAATTACAGAGATACGTAAGGTATTTATCTCGATGCGTTTGCGGGTCTTTCATACTATTAATTGATTATTAAATTGTAACGTGTAATATTTGTTAGAAATGATCGTACCTCCTCTTAGCGTTTCTCGCGATCGCGTTTCGATAATGAGAAATAAATCGTTGTATCGCTTGCTCGGATCTCAGCACGCGAATGGAAGGACGGCGACCTTGTGTAAGCAACACGCTATATGCCCACAATAACAAACATTAAGTCACGTGTCGATAGAACCATTCGTTCGTCGTTGAAAAATTATTGTATCAGAAAAACAAAACTATATAAATTTTATATGAACGGAAATACGTAAATGTATCGAGAATGAATTATAAATTAAAATACGAACAGTCGTCCTTATTTTGATGTTCACAGACATTTTACCAAAGTCGAAAAATTTTACCAACGTTACTATGTTATAATAAAATTTTTTATAATCGATGAAACAAAATTTTCGAGTCCCTCAGAAATAAAAACTCTATTTTTAATAAATTTCTTTTGTGAAAAGAACAAAGCTCAGGAAAGAAGCTATAAAATTATACGATACGTTTCAGCAGTACATTTGATTCAAGTAATCGTAAATAATAATTCATAATTCATAAGTAAAGGTACTAGGGACGAGTCATTCATGAAAATTGTTAACAACGTGTCATTAATCGACATTCATTCTAAATTTGCCAATAATTACGCAAAGGAAGGGAACTCACGCCAGTTTCGGTTGCCAAGAAAATCTTGCTGCCGGTGAGCGAACGGCAGCGGCAGCGAAAAAGAGCTTCTTTCGCGACTGGATGAGGAGGCGAAAGGGAGCCGGAATGAAATTGGCTCGTGACTAACGCCAGTCGTCATGGATGATCGCGAAGCGTGCTTGCGCCATTCTCGTGCCAATCCCGCGACGCCATTCACGGAAAAAGAAAA